TCCCTTTTAAACAGTTCTCTCCCTCATCTGCTTCAATGCAGTATACATCGTTCCTCTCCTTCTCTGTCTTCCCTCAACCCCAGTGTCAGTCTCATTTTACAATAGTGGTCCTATGCAATATTTGTCCTTTTAGGATTGAGATATTTCACTCAGCATAATGTCTTCCAAGGTCACCCATTTTGCATAATATTTCATGAGTTCTTTGTTTTTCAATGCAGCGTAGTATTCCATTGTGCGAATATATCACAACTTCTCTACTCATTCATTTGTTGGTGGAATCATTTCTATTTTACACTTGTTACTGATGGTCATTACTCATTCATCTTTCACCTGAATATTCATCTTTAAGATAACTTGGCCTCTGTCTTGGCATCACAGATTCAAAGGTGAATAAAATAAAATAAGGGCTTTTCCCTCAAGGGTCTCTGTATCCGAGGCTGGAGGCTGAGGTACAGGAGACAATAGTAACAGATGTTTCTGTTTATCGCTATGCAGCTGCTGTCTGAAGATAGAGGTCATGACGTTTGATACCTAAACTGAGTTTAAAGAATGATGGAGAAGGTTGTCCAGGGAAAGAGGTAGAAATTTTGGCATGATCACAAAACTTACTGTCATTGAATCTGTTCAGACTCAGTGAAAAAAGAGCAGTGTAGAACTACCCTGTAATTTTTCCAAGGTGATAATCATTATAGATGGAGATTGTCACATCTTTCTCCAAGAGAGCAGTGGGTGAGTATGAACCACCAGCCTGTTAATTAGATATGGAATGCTTTACCACTTGCACAACCAGGCCTCCTTTAAAACAATATCAGGGTTGGTGAAAGCATTTGAAGAAGCCAGAGTAAGTAAAGTCATGGTGTATGAAAAAGTATTTGTATCTCCTATTGGAGCAAAAGCCAGGAGCGAGTGGCTGGAATTGAGTTCTAGAAAGGCTGGTGAAGTTCAGATTAGGATAAGAGTTGGAACCTTGAATTTTAGGTAATAATTTATTAATTTTACATTTTAACTTTCTTCTATAGACATGTCATTGTGATTATGTGCCATTGAATCTCCTGTGACTCATAGCGACCCTATGTACATTATCTCTGAACCCTGCTCTAATCTGAGCCAATCTCATCATCTCTGAAAATCTTAACCCCATTGCATCAGTCATTGTGTCAATCCATCTCATCCTGGGTATCCCTCTCCTGCACTGCTCCTCTTCCATTCCAAACATGATGTCCCTCTCCAAGGACTGCTCTCTCCTGGCCACATGCCCAGAGTATGTGAGACAGAGTCTCAAAATCCTTGCATCCAGGGAACAGCCTGGTTTCATCCTCTCTAAGACAGACATTTCTGTTCTCCTGGCTCTCCACTGTATATTCAACGCTCTTCTCCAGCACCACAATGCAAAGGCATCGGTTCTTTATCATCCTTAGTTATTGTCCAGCTCGCTGATGCGTAGCAAGTAATTGTGAAATCATGTTCTGGATCAGATGCACCTTAGTCTGCAGATTTGTGCTTCAGTACT